ATTATTCTTTGCCACAGTCTCCAGTTAGAAGTTAAGATTAAAGATATTACTTACCATTTAATCCTATTTAATGCCTTTAGTTTGAATTATGATAAATACTAAAAGTGGCTTAAACAAGGAAAATTATTTCATGTAACTCAGTGGCTTTGATGTCGGGGCTCCAGGTGGGTTTCTCTAATGTGCCTGGGCCCTGTCTTTCTCATGGGGGGAGAGCAGCCCCTCTACACACTGGATCTTCACGGGGCAGCCCAGAGACAGGAAGTATTTGGCCTCTCCCCATCTCTTTTTATCAGGAGGAAAACTTAATCAGAATTCACTGGAATTCTGTGTCAGTCTCATTGATTTTACTTTCCTTTGCCTAAAACAGTCACTGGCAAAATGACTGTAATTATCAAGATTAGCTCTCAGAGGAATCAACATTCATCCCCAAAGAGTGGCAGAGGGGCCACTTTCCAGGCACAGCAGATGCAAACATGTATAGTACTGATATTCCAACCACAAGGAAAAGCCACGAAACAAAGATTGAGAGGGCATCCAACAGGGCCTCTATTTGCCTAAGGGGTGTTTTTTCATTTAAGTACATGATCCCTGCTAAGGCACAAATACATATCTAAAGAAAACTTTTAGGGAAAAAAAATCGAAAAGAATTGAAAAAAGGAGGAAGTTAGAAAGTTTTAAAAATTCACAATTGCTAACTTTGAGACTTTTTCCTATCATCCACAAATACATATGAATCACTGACTTCAGATTGTGCTTTCTCTACACTTCCTGATCTTCTCATTCTCTTCTTAAGTAACTTTCTTTAATTTAGTAAGTCAAGGCTCATGATTCCTTTGCACTATTTAATCAGTATATCAATACAATCCTAATCGAAAACTATGCAGGTTTTCCCACCTTCAGATGGCTCCTCTATAAAGATACAAAACTAAGCAAGCTTACCTGGTGGACTGGCAATATCAATCAATCAATCAATTTTAGTACTAGTCCCATATAAATGAAAGACTCTTCAAGGTTATAATCCAACAATATATGTGGGCTTTTATATGTGTTGGTTGCCCTCTAAACCAAAGAATATTTGAACTGTTGAATTATTTACTGAAATTTCTGAATATAATTAAACCCAAGATTCAAACATTGTTATTCAAAGTTTATAGGGCCAGAGAAGGTAACTCCTGTGCCTGCTTTACTAAGGTGAACAAACTTAGTGCCAGAATAGCTCCTTGTTGAATAAAGCTATTTTATTGAGAAAGGAATTTCTGTTCATAACCCCCCATTTACAAATTTGAGTATCATTTTCATGACCTTCATGTAGAGGAAACCACAGTTTCATTAAATTTCCTCCCAGATACTTGAGTGGAGCATTTGTCCCAAGTGTAATACTGTACAATACCATTCCTTCCTTCCAGGTTTTCTCTAAGATTTGAAGTACCATTTAAAAATGGAGATAGAAATAGTCCTCCCAAGAAAATTATATAGGTTAATTATAAGACCTTATGAATGACTATCTCTCTGGGGGAAAAGGGAGAATAGAAATAGAAAAGAACATACATGAAGGAATGAAATACCCTTGACCCTCGTCCCCCAGATACATTAACCTTACAGAACTCCAGTGATATAATCATTCCATGAATGATCCATTTCAAGTTTGGAGTGAATCATCTATCTATTTTTTTCAATTTATATTTCAAGAGATTTGGAGTGTAGATGGGCGTATGGATGGGACTTGGATAAACTGCTGGCAGTCTCCCAGGATCTTTCCAGTGACTACAGCTCTTAGTGGAAGAACATTATTCATCCCCTACATAGGGGTTTCTCAACTTGGGTGCTGTCATTTTGGATTAGATCATTTTTTGCTGTGGGAGGTCCCCCTGTTTGTTCTAAGACATTTAGCAGTGCCCCTGGCCTTCCACACTAGATCCAGTAGTGCCCTTCCTCCCAAGTTGTGACAACCAACAATATCTGCAGACACTGTCAAATATCCCTGTGAGACAGAATCAAAATTGCCTCCTTCCCAACTCCCACCCTCACCATCACGTTGAGATCCATTATTCTAAATCAAAAGAGCAGGATTTTCCCTGCTATTTGTGACAACATGGACGGACCTTGAGGGCATCATGCCAAGTGAAATAGCCAGGCAGAGAACCACAAATACTGCATGGTATCACTGATATGTAGAATCCCGCTAAAAAAGTCAAACCCATAGAAACAGAGAGGAGAAAAGTGGACCCCAGAGCCTGGGGGTTGGTAAAAGAAGATAAACATTAAGCTGTAAGATGAATAAAGTCTGAGGATCTCATGTGAAACATGATGACTGTAATTAAACACTGTATTGTATAATTGAAATTTACTAAAAGAGTAGAACTGGAATGTTCTCACACACATCCACACACATGAGAGTGCAGGATTTTTAGTGATTCAATATAGTATGGCACTGTTATTCTAATTTTTGCCTATGAAGTTTACATTCATATTTTAGTTATCCTACAGACAGATGCACTACTATTTATTAAGGTTAATCAATTAAACAATAACAAGTTCAAAGCTGTTTCTGCTATTACATATAATTTTTTATGGAAAAACAATTTTGTAGCCAACTTATCACCATAATTTTAACTACTTCCTTTAAAATAAAAACAAACACAAAATAAATCTATCTTTGTAATGTTGAAAGTGGCAATATTTAGGCAACAAAAATCAATTGAATCTAAAGGCCCAAACAATAATACAAGCAGGGATGTCAAGTTTCAAACCTAAATTGACTCTACAGTGCTTTTACTAAAGACTTTCCCCAGTTTATTAAAAAGAAATTAATATTGTTAACATTTTCTAAATTAGCACTACTTATTTCCCCATGGATGTTAGGATTAACATAATTTAGGGAGAACATTTAAAGGAAAAATACACTACACATTACTACAGGCCAATAATTCACATATTTGATTTTCTTTTTCTTTTCATTGTTTTAGCTTTGGGGTCTTGAAGTATTATAAATATCATGACCTGTTGGGGAGATTTTTTTTTTGCCTTGCACATTTTAAATGATAAACTTGGAGAGCTTGGCCAACTGTTTTAGGCTATTAATGTCTCAGTAAATAGGAAGACACTGCTGTAAGGGGGCCACCAGGACTGCGATGACAAGGAGGCCCAGGCACCTCAGTGGGCTCTCTTGGGCAACAGCAAGCCAAAGCAGAAACTAAAAACTGCTGATAAAACCCTAAAAGAGTCCAGGTAAAATGGGGATAGAAACTTGACCACGAGGTGGGAAAAATCAAGGTAAATTATCCTGAGGAGTGCTTCTTAAATTCAGTGTGTTTAGGAATAACTTGGGGATGATGATAAGGTGCAGATTCTGATTCGGAGAGTCCAGGATGGTGCTGAGAGCCTGCATCTCTAAGGGTCCCCCCAGAATCGATGTCGCTGCTTGCCACATGCACTGCATTGTGTGTGGCAGGGCTCTAGAGCACTTCCCCCACCCTCCCCTGCTGCACCCCTGGACGCAGAGGTGCCAATGCTGCTTCATCACAGAATCTATGAGATCAATCTGATAAAATAAATTCATTTACACAGTATTCTCCCCAAATTCTCAATATATAGAAATGCGTTTTCTTTATATCATCTTTAAAGGACAACATGGAGTTAGTAAAATGTCATTACGGTTTTTGCTTTTTATATACTCATAGGCAGCAAGTTTCTATGATATGTCATCTGATAGACTAATGAAAAACCCAAATTTTAAAAGTCAGAATTAAAGTTAGGTTTGACTTTGGGTTGGTCAGTTTTAAATGAGTTTTCCAGCTCAATCTTAAATTTTGATTCACTCTTTATGACTACACAGGATGTGTTTTTATCCTAAACATTTGATTCCTTTTACACCTATGGGAAAAACAAATTCTGGCTTACTTCATATTCCCCTCTGAAGCGCTAACCAAGGCCTGATTATGTGATAGGTTTTAGCACTGTGTCAGTATCAAGGTGTACCAGAAAGAGAAGCAGATACAAAGATGACAGACAGATGAAGTATCCCTGATGTAAAACATCCCTTGGTGAAGAAGCAGCTGGTAGTACCATAAAAATTTGTATGTTTAGGCACAAAAAAACAAAGACTGAACACCAATATTAAGTAGAAATAATTATAACTTTTGAAAAGAGAACTAGAGTGGAAAGAAAAGGAATACACACATTTGTTCCTATCACAAGTATTTCCAAATAGCACTTTGCATTTTCCATAGGCTATACTTGAGGGGGGAAAAAAAAAGAACGTTTAGGCACTTATTACAAAATTTTATAAGAACAAGAATTTGCCAAATGTATGACTCTTTTTTCTGAAAAAAAGAGAAGAAAAAATTTCTTGCACAAAGTCTCATCATAAACACTTGGGCCACCAAAACGGCATGCACCTTAGTTATCTGTGTCTGGTTTGGTAAAGCACTAAAGGTATTGAAAAAGGTTGAAATTTAAAGGCAGCCAACTTTTTACTAAATCAAATCCCCAGTTTTACATTGATGTAACAAGTTATAGACATTTTAAATGAAGAAATTAAGGAAACATGGGTTTATACCATTGATGAATAGCCCCTGCCCTGCTTGGAGCCATCACCAAGGTGGATTTTAAGGCTACAACTCTGGAGGACTCCCAGTACACACTTTCTACATACTTGATATTTGGAATCTTCTCAAATCACCTATTCTGATCACATTACAAAAAATGTTAGATGATCACCCTTAGATCATCTACATGATGTCAGTGATAATTGAAGGATCTAATTAGTCCAGTCAAGCAATTGGTAAATTCAGAAGAAAATAAATAACTTCAAAATTCTCGATAATTTCATTGGGCACAAATATTAGGCTATGTTAGTCTATGCATTGAATACACTGATAAACAACTTGTCACCAGAAATACAGGAGTTCACTTTAGAGAACATACCAATAATTTCCTTCTGCTCTCTAGGAGAGGCAGCAGACAGATCACGTTCCCTTTTAATAGTTGACTAAACTCACCCCATGTGATGGGTAAGAGATCCAGCCCAGCTCCCCTTGAATAGTTTTTGAATCCAGTAGATTAACTAAAAGAAAACACAAACACACAAACCCAGTTAAGAGGAATGAATTCCTTCAGTTTGCCTCTGTTAAGGTGAAGTTTCTTTTGTTGCTAATATAACAATATCAACATGTTTAAAACACATGACTCTTCATTTTTATAATGAGAATGATGGAAATAAGAAGGAAATTACAAAAAAAAGGAACACAGGGAAAGTTAAGGAATCAAAAAGTTTTGTGGCCTTTTAAACTGTGTTTGTTGATCAAGATACATAAACAATCAATATATCAATAATTTTTGACAAAATAATTACAGCTTTAAAGAGGAAACAGTAAAATGCAAAATAGGAAAGATTAATACTAATAGTATCAAAAATAACTGCAAGGATATAGTTGATCAATTTACATATGATTTCACTATAATTTATTAAATATGCTTCCATAATGAATCAATACTTCTGTTTATGCATAGATGATATGGCTTCTTTAGTTAAGAAAGTATTGTTACCCAAAGTTTTTAATGATTTTATTCAGAATTTTGCTGGTTATTTAAAAGTCTGATGAGTAATAAAATATAACATAAATATGGTTAAATTTCGAATATATTATTTAAAAAGAAAAGCCAATTATTTATTTTCAACACAGAGTATTGATTTGTAATGGATTGGAAATTAAGATGTAAAAAGATACTTCAAACTTAATAACAAAGGCTCACTTTGTTGATTTGTTAAATAATGAAAACAATGGTTTTACCTCATCCTTCTTCTAAATCAGAAAACAATCCCACAATTGACTAATGGAAGATGTAGAGGAAGTTTACATAAAATATGCATGTATTATTAACATGAGCCAAAGCAGGTGAATCAATAAATACAATAAAAGAAAGTCAATTTTGAAAATTCTATATATGCATAAATTGAAATGTAATGTTAATACACGTCCATGTTTTGTCTATAAAGTGTATCCTGATACATGCCAATTCTTTAATCATGCCAATTTATTTCTAACAAAGGACACATTAATCTTATAATTGTTAAGAAAAAAATCATATATTTGGTAGATATTGTAATTATAAATGTTCAAGCACTGCTTTTTAAAGAAAGGTATCAGGTTAGTTGGCTAGATGATAAATATACATAAAAAAGCTAATCAGTAAGTTAGAAGAGATAAAATTCTCAAAGTTAGCTTCTTTAAGTTTTGCTAGTGCAACAAAACACATAATCTTAACCTATCACACTGGAATTCCTTAATGATTAAAGATTTTTTCTCACAATTTAATCCCAAGGAGAAGTAATTATATTTAGATAAGAGAAGACAGTTGCTGCATGGATTACATAATGCAATTTCTATCATGGAATTATTTCCCAGGATATCAGTTTGGAAATTAACAGTATGCTTAATTATACTGAAATTATTTCTCAAGAATGATTTATTTAAAAACCCTCTACTGATTAATCATTGCTACAGGTAATATTTCAGATTAATCAATGTTAGAAAATTTTTGACAACATGAGAACATATCTTCACCTCTACTATGTTGTCAACAATCACTCTGATAAAGACATGCCTAGGTCAGTTGTCGGTTCTATCACAGTTAACAATTGATTTCTCTGAGTTTTACATAGGATTTGCATAGTAGAATGTACAATGCCAGTGTTCATATATTATTAGGTCATATTTGCAGTGCCTTTGGGGGTTTAATGGTTCACTATATTTTGCATGCATGCAATAATTGAATATGTACTAAATGATGAATATGTGTCACTCCATATGCTAAGGTGAATGGCATATTAGAAACCAGAGGGAAAAAAGTGTTTGAGACCAAGAAGATATAAATATTGTCTCCATTTAGTAAGTTGCTCATTAGAATGTAGGTTGATAACTAAGAACTAAGTACCCGTAAGTTTTCTCTGATGATAATGAGTGGAAAAGGACTGGTCTAACCACATTAACATTTGGTGTTTACTCAAAGGAGAATAGCTAAACCAAAAAGAACTGTGTCACATGGCCAATTAAAATAAGCGTAACAGGCAACTAAATTCATTGCATTTACTCAAAAATTGAATTTTTAGTGCACTCCATTTAGCATGAATGAGGAAAACACAATTAACTCATGATTCTGATTCTGTTGTCTATCAAACATAATTATAACTGCCCTGGTTATCTCACGACGTTGTTGTGACAATCAAGTAATATAAATGTACTTAAAGCCACCATGAATTCATAGCATCACACAGATTCACCATTCTTGTACAATTACTACATTAACTATCAGTTCCATTTTGGCTTCTGAGCTGTACTTATAACCAACCATCAGTGTATGACCTAATAGAGAAAAGTGAAATCAAAATATTTTTTAAAGCACTTATTTTTAGGTTACATGGTGTCTTTTGTTTATAGGCAAGTAAGAATAACACAATCTAAGAATTCTAGCCACTTTAAAGTGAATGACTGCTAAACTGCAACTTCCTAGGATATAAATATTGAATCTCCTGTGACCTGCTGCATAGCAATCTGAGTGTAACATAATTGAAATAAAAAGAAGAAAAAGTTAATGGAATTTGAAAGTCAACCTGTTGTAATTTCTCTAGATACACGGATTAAATCTAACATTGCAAACAACCTAAACCTCGCACTGATACAAGCAACAACTTGGTCACTAATGTTTTCCTCTTCTAAAAAAGAGGCAGACACGATCATAGCCTTTTAAGCAGTGTCACAACTCATTTTACCAGGGAAGAACAGGGAAGAAAGAACTGTGTGCAAATACTATACTGTAGCCTGGATATTACTAAGTTACAACACGGATGATTTATTTCAAGTGCTGAAAAATTTGAGTCCACAGTGATGAATTTTAACAAAAAAGATTATTCCTAAGGGTAGATGGGGAATGGTTTAATTGTTTAATAACAGACTATTGCCAGGTTATTTATCAAAATATAAATTGTCCCTACCCAGTTCTCATATTCTAATGGTATGATTTTTAGATATTTTTTGGTTTGTAACAGGAAACATATCATTTCATTAATTTCATAACATTTTCTACACAAAGAACTGTATGGCATATATTAATTTCTGAAATTAAAGTGATTTAAATTAGACATACTTTTAAGTGCTATGACTCTAATATTTAAGTTGAGATATAACTGCTTTGTGGCAATATTGAATCTAGAAATTATTGTTCAAAGTCTGGATGGATATGTTTCTGAGTTTCTTTCACATACTTTATTTAGTCTTACTGCTTTCAAATAGAAAAGATGTATGAATAGGTGAAGGGGTTTATATTTATGAAAACTAGGAATCCTTAGATTCCTTGGGTTGGCTTCTAAGTAGGCACTAATGTGAGATTTGCTGAACAAAAGGCAGTATGGTGTCTGGATGGGAATTAGAAGGTGTAGAATTGAGCAAAGGAATATGAATAGTGTAGAGAGAAAAGTGGCTCAAACTGGTTTAAGTGCTTCTGGAAAGGAAAAAACCTTGCTCTCCATTGTTGCCACTGATCTTTACTGTCACGGTTTACACTCAGCTGGATTGTGGATTTATTATGCCCAGGAGACTTTCTCTCTTCCAATCCTCCACCATAACCTCCGTTGGAGAGACGCAATGAAATGCTCACTCCTTCCTTCATTTGTACTAACAATATTACAGAGATTTGTCTGTACTAAGAACTTAAACCATCTTACCTTTTCACTAATAAGAATGCATTTCTTTAAAGGACTATTAAAATAAGTGTATGAAGCCAATGTTTCCAGTTAGGACAGATTAAAAACTGTAAGTATAAATTTCTGGAGTTTTCACTATTACAGAGTCTTTGACACACCAAGATTTTATTCAAGGACATTTCAAATTTCTGATTCATAGTGACTACCTGTCTACTTAGAAACATTGACAGTTAAACTAATATTCACCTCTTGTAGATAGTTTAAGTGCTGCAAATATGCAGTGTTAAAATATTTTTTAATTTAAATGCCACAATTCCTTATGAATTGGAAGATCTTTTCAATTATCTAATAACACATCAATTTGATGTGTGGTAATGCTATTTTTGCATTTTATAAAAATACTGAGTTATAAAAATGATCAAATAATCATTTAAGGGTGGACAGCCAGGTTTAATGGCTAAAGAATTTCAGACTCTTACAAGAGCAGACATGCTCTCTTGTAAAACTTTCAGTTATAAGGTGGCTTTAAAGCAAAATGGAAATAACTATAAAACCCCTAAACAGAAAACACAAACCCATCTTTTGATTACATCTCACTTTTAATAAAGAATAATAATATTTCCTTTCCTGTTCACACCATCACTATAAATGTGCCAGCCACGTTACTTGTACACTACTTACTTTTATCATTTTCATCACTTCTGTTATGATAAAAATAGTGGCTTTGCTCTAGGCTACAGATAACAGAAGGGTCATTTAACCTGCTTCTAGGTTATACATAAATGTCACAAATAGAAGAAAATGATATGGGAAGTAATAAATTTTGTTCTCCATGCTGTAATAGTCTGTGTAGAACTCTGATCAACCACAGGATTAAGAAATCAAGATGTATTTTCTCACAAGAGTCCATCAAAACTCAGCTTTTCATTTTTACTGTACGTGTCAGGCAATGCCCATTGAGAAGTAATTTAGATAAGACAACATTTTATTAATGAATTTATGTATTTCAACATAAATTTTATCTGCTGTGACTACATATTGTTAGTTTAATAGCTCCTGAGGTGGTCTTGTTTATATTTGTTTCCACCCAAAACATAATTAAAACATTTTTCATAGATCTAGTTAGTATTCTATTTTATAAAACAAAAATTATAAATGTTTTTTGACTATAAATCAAGTCAACTATAATATATTGTGTGCAGATAAACCTTCCTTTAAACTGTGTTAAATTTTATAGGAATTTTGTGTCATAGAAATATTAATATAATAATTTCTACATCAAATGACCTGCTGAAATTATGTAACAATTAAATAAAAAATCCTGTACTGTTAGACATTCCTATGGAAATCTCTTTCATCACAAG